TAATCCGCGAGTTAACATTCATAGAATATTACAAAAAACATTCACAAATGAATGCGCACTACAGTGTTCCTGGAAAGGAATAAGGAATAATTTTAAACTGTACAACTTGCATCTTATGAAAATAATAGGAAGTATGTATATAGAAAAATTAACTTACATATTGAAATATTTTATTTCAAAACATGTTTCATACTTCAATTTTTTTAGGAGAAGTAATTTTCCGTCATGCCAATGTGACAGAAATGGATTTTGACAACAGTGCGGCGGAATAGTTTCGTTTCGCTCGACAGCGAAAACAAAGGAAAGATAAAAAAGAGAACATGAGACAAGAAAGAGAACAAGAATAAATGTTTAATTATTCTTTATTTATTTATAACGAATTTAGTAAATTCGTTCAATTTTTTTAATATAGATTATATGACTTTATTTAATTTTTCGTTTTTATATCAGCTGTATTGTTTTGATGTTTTATTTTATTTTTGTTTAATAGCAATATAAGTTAATATATACACATCTGCAAGCTGTGATTTTAATAAATATTAATGTTTGTGATAGTATGTAACAAAAAAACTGTGATTTTGTTTTATATAAAAAGTTTATATATAATAAATAATATATTTATATATAAAAATTTTTCTTCTACATTTTTCCTGCAATTTTGAATGGCTATGCAGATGACTAATATGCCTTTTTATTGAACGAGTTTTAGGACAACGTCGATCAATTTTCGTCGATTTATTTGTTTTCCTTTTCTTTTACGACAGAAATTTGTTAAAAAGGAAAGAAAAATGAATTAATTGGAAATTGGTCAATGTATCACTAAAACGCGTTCGATAAAAAAGGCATTAATGTGTTATATAACTGTTTTATAAAAATATAACAAAATATTAATAGTATATATAACAATTCTATAACAAATAAAATAATAGCGTTATATAACTGTTCAATATGTTATATTATAATTATATTATTTTCCCACAATTTATATAACTATTATATAACATTTAGGTTATTTTGATTACAGTTATATAACATCTTTATAACAAATTATATTTCTGTTATATAATTGTAATATTGTTTGAGTAGGAAATTACAACTAACATGTATGTTACATGTAACATACACGTTATATTGCATGTTATATTTTGTTATATTAGGGCAATATAATAGGTATATAACAATGTTTACTGGGAGGAATAATATTCTGAGTAATTCCCCACAAGAATCAAGTGGCGGTCGGCATTGGTTTAAGAGATATAATAAATGAAAGTTTGACACCAAAATTTGTATACGATGTAATAATGTTTATTTTTTTAGTGAAAAAAGCCTCTTTATAATCTTTATATGTAGGCAGAGGAGAACGTCCTTCCTCCTCCTCCAAAGAAAGTCTAACTTAACTCAATTAATATCCAAGGAATAAATTTTTATTAATAATAATTTACCCCTTGGAGATAGGTTTGGATTAGATTATATCTTCCGGAAGTGGAGCTACCCCTAAGGGGAAACGGTACTGTGCCTACGCATGTTTTGCAAGACAAAAATTAATCTTAGGTTTCGCCTCTCCTACAGGGAAACTCTATTCCGGAATTATATATGTAATATAGCATAACCCACACCTATGTTCTAGGAGTCTCTTTTATCAGTATTTATCGGAGAAATAAATAAAAAAATCCTGTATGTAAAAACATATATATTTTATCTTCTTTTACTAAGAAGATAGATAATGTTTTGTCATTATATAAAAAAATATCTCTATTTGTTCTTTAAATGTAAATTTTCGTTTAAAAAGAAATTCTGCAATATAACCAGCATAATCCCAGGTAGCAACCACACGTCATTTTGACGTCTCAAATTGGTCAGTCAATGACTACTTGTGACGTCATGACTTGACGTTTTTATGACGTAAAAATGACGGTCTAATGTCACAGACTGTTGACGTCACGAAAAGAACCACATTTTGACGTCATCTCATGACATCTTTTCTGATTAATATAATGACGTTATTAGAACCACATTTTGACGTTATTTCATGACGTCTTTCCTGATTAATATAATGACGTTATTAAGACGTTCTTAGACCCTGCGCACAATAGAGAAAATATTAAAAATAAATATTAAATATTAGGAATAATTATTTTAAAATATTAAAATCGAAAAAACTTTGCTATAAAAATACACATTCGAGTATAGAGGACTAATAAGACTTTTATACTCTAATTTATATATCAAGGTTTATTCAATTTTTTACTTTAAAATAATTTTTATTCCTAATATTTAATATTGATTCCTAATATTTTTGTATAGTACACACACACACACACACACACACACACGCACACGCACACGCACACGCACACGCACACGCACACGCACACGCACACGCACGCACACACACACACACACAAAACTTGGATAAAATATGTAAATATATGTATACATATAAATTTTTTATTAATTATCAAATTTTAATATAAACAGAAATTTTTTAAATATATTATGTACGAATATAATTATCAAAAACTTGTTTTATAATAGTCATATATGTATATAATATAAAAACTTATTATTAAACTGTAGAATCATAATAATAATAATGTATATTTGTGATTATATTAATAGCTATCTCAAATTGCACAATATGCATTGCACATTATGATTGCTAAATTAAAATAAATAAATTTTCACAAATATTAAACTAAAAATTAATAATAAAAGAATATTAATCAATGTTGTGTATGATTGGAAAACATACATAAGTATTATCATCAATATAAGGTACTACAATACATTTGCTGCTAATGAGACTAATAGGCCATATTTTGAGATTACTAAAATCTTTGAGAATATATATATTAAGTAGCGATGAGTCGCACGGGTATAGATATAATGGTGATTGTGTAATAAAATATTTTCCAATAACGAAAATATCACCATTTGTTGTTTTTACAATATTATGTATTTCTATTACTTCTGCGTTACTCAAACTACAATAACTGTCTGCAATGCTGTAGCGATTGATAGAAAATGACAAATTTGTAAAACTGATTTTTTTATATTGTTTGTACCATTGACAAGAATTATTATTTAATAAAGGTCCATTTTTATGTTCCATGTCAACAAAATATTTAGCTTTGACTTCTTTTAAGTTACATTTATTTATTTCTAAGGAAGAACAATTTATTTCTTGAATTCGACGATGTATTTGCTGTAATGGATTATTAGAAGATCTTATTAATTTTTTTAATTTACCAAGATAATTTTCAAACGGAAACGCAGAATATTCATCTAAAGGACCATAAATTTCTACGTCGTCGCATATATGTGTTAAGAGATGAATATTGTAAACAGCAAATTCTAGACCGTACAATTTATTTTTGCAATGATTGATAAAAGTTAGTAGGCATTCTCGTGCAAATGAAATTCCAAAATTATTTATATGTTTTTGTGATATTAATATAGAAATAGCAACATGCAATAATAGAAAATTTTCATAAATAGCTTTGCCTACAATATCTTTTAAAACTAAAGGACCGATGTAAATCAAAAAAGTTCTAAACTCTGTGGTTTTCCAATACGCTAGCTCATTTAATGACCGAGGTTTTCTATTAAACTCCAATGGAATAAATGGCTGTAAATTAATGAGACGTTGTGAGAGCACTTGTACCTTTCTGTTAGGTAATCTAACGTTTAGTGAACCTCCAATCCATGTATTTAATAGCTTTCTCATTACGCCTAAACATATGTTATGCATGTAGTCTGTGGGAAAAGATGTTATTAAATCTATAGGTAAATCTATTAAAGGAGATGGGCCACGATGGTGATCATCATCTATATGTTTTCTAAAAGATTCGTCTGTGCGCTTTTGAGCTGTTTCACTTGTAAAAACAACTTTATTTTTATAATATTCTCCAGGTTCAACACATTTATCACATGAAGAATATCCCGAATGTGTCTTTGTACATTTTAAAAAAGCACGAGCAGGAGCATCGCATATAAAACTATGAATTTCTATTTTAAAGTGATTCTCATTAAAATCAAATCCATTTTCTAATAAATTATTTAATTCATCTATAAAATTCCTTAAAAAAAGATTTAAAGGTTTAGGCTTCGACGTACCACAAAAAATTGAAATACTGAATGGAATACTACGAAAATTTTTAATAAGTCCCAGAATAGGCCATAGTTGTATTTTGTTACTTTTAAACAATGGGATACCATCTACATTAAAACAGATTTTTAATGTTTCACCAGGTTTTAAACATTCTTGGGTATGCTTTTGTGACAATACATTTTTCAAAGCTATGTTCAAACCTAAATAACAAAATTCTCCAGTTTCTAATTTATTAATTTGCGTAAAAATTGGAGTTTTCAATAATGTACGGGAATCTAATGGTAATTCTGGGTGATAAGGGGAAAGTATGCGCAAAAGATCTGTTACAGCTAAATGTGATATGTGTCTTTCAATGGCCCATTTCCTTAATTCATACATAAAATTACTTTGATCATCTAAGCTACTGTTTATATCTGTGTCAGAAGAATTATTTATTACCTTATTAGAAAAATTAGACACGGCATCAATGGTTAAATAGTTATCGTTTTGAAAATTTAAAGAGACAATAACATTTTCAAAATTTTCAGTATTGCTCGTTTCATTATTAGTACTTGTAATTCTATTAGTATCTAAATCATTTAACGATTCATTATATATTTCGTTTGATAGGTTCAAATTATTACAAGGTGTTCTATTAGAAACATTAGCAGCAAATATTTTGTTTACAGCTTGCGTTACTCTTCGATATTGTTGGCGCCGTCCAATAAATTCTTTACGTTTACGTCTAATTTTTAACATAATGATAAATTTTTACAAATAAAAGAAAAAAAGATATGTTTTGACAACCAATTATTAAAATAAATAATGCAAACTTAAAAAATAAAATTAATAAAATTATTAATTTATCAATAGACAAAATAAAAATAAAAAGTAATACATACGTGTAGAATATAATATTTAAATTTTATAACCTTTCTTTGTTATTTTTTTTCAAACTTTCCTTTAATCTGTCAGAAGCGTGTTTTAACCAAGTTTTGATTGCATCCTCAATATCTTTTTCTGTGGTTGAAGGTGATTTTATTTGCACACCGCCTATAAACAAAACAGAAAAATTTTAAACAATTTATTTTATAACAAATTATATATTATATCAAGAAAAAAATTTTATTTTTTATCAATTTTAATTAATTTTTGTAAAATATTTAATATTGTCAAACTTACGGATTATCACAGTCTTCAAAGAAAGCTTCTCAAAAGCTTCCTTATTTTTGTGTCCTGCAAAGTTAAAACCTTTCGCAAGTTCGTTAGTTAAAACGTGTTTTAAAATTTTATTAGTTCTTGCAGTAGTAGTGTCACCTCCTAATGTTGAGAAGAACAATGACTGTAAAATAATAAAAAAAATTAACATCAATGCACGTATAAACACATATATGTACATATACACAACACATGCATACACATACATAGTAATAGTAGTAGTAGTAGTAGTAGTAGTAGTAGTAGTAGTAGTAGTAGTAGTAGTAGTAGTAGTAGTAGTTATAGTAGTAGTAGTTATAGTAGTAGTAGTATAATAATAGTATGTGTCTGTATATGTATGTTAAAACATGTGATTTAAATAAATACAGGGTTGACCATATTAGGTGGACCCATCTAGTAACACTGTAACTTTGACAAGGAATGTGAGAATGACTAATGATAGCACGTGTTCGAAGCGTCAGTCTTAGGAGATTTTTGCTATGGAGCAACCATCAATCGAACGCTAAATGATTTTTCACTTGAACAGCAAAAAATGTGTTTTTTTTAAATGTTTTTCTTTTAAATAAATGGGTCCACCTAATATGGCCAACCCTGTATATATACCACAGCGTGTTTATTTTCACGGGAGCTAAAATAATTTTCTAATAGTTGCAATTCTTCGCGTGTTTTCAATGGAAACTCAACAGGACAATTATCTGGGATAGAGAGCATGCCACCTTGAGTGTTGGAGTGCTTCAATATTCCATACATTTCTTTAACTTGTTCTCGCACTTTTCTTATTTCAGTAAAAATTTGTTCTGAAAAATTTAATATAAATAGGCAATCATTCTAGTATATAAAAAAATATCGTTTTATTTTATAGAATAATAATAAGACATACCAGTAAGGCTACGAAAATATGGTACTCCATTCGCTTCATTAAGAGTTGAATTTACAGATTCTGATCGAGAACTGATGTTTGTGGAAACAGTTAAAGATGGTGATGGTATTGTGATTCTATTTAAAAAATCTATCTCTTTTAATCTCCTACTAGGAGTATTGTGTGCAGGAATATCAGAAGAATCTGAATTTATGTCTTGTTGCGATACTGTAATATAACAAATTTAAAGAAAAATTAGAAAACAAAATTTCAAAAATATATAGTGCTTTATTTTTTTTTAATATTTTGCTATTTCTTTATACCTGTTTCTGGTAGGTCTTTTGATGTCATAGATACTGATGATGGCATTGATGTTAAAGATTTTTTATGTTTATCTTGTAGCGCATGTGCTAAACATAATAATGCTTAGATAACAAAATGCTTCCAATATTTACAAAAAGATAAAATTAGATTTATAATTATTAATTAAAAATTTAAATTTCTAATTAAAAAATATTTTTACCAAATGTGGAAATCTTTGGTGGTCGACGTAAAGAATGGTCACTTTCATCATCCTCTTCTTCACTAGTAGATATGTATTTAGAATTTCGTTTTGACTGTCTTTTCTTTGGTTGCTCTTTATCTTCCACTGTAGAAGACTGTACATCAGAAAACTCTTCACACTTTTTTAGTTTTTTACTAGCTTTCTGATATTCATCTATAATTAACAAAGATAACATAGTTAAATTCAAATTTTATAAACATAACCTAATTTTTTATGCAATAAAATTTGTTAATTAAAAATATCACAATATAAAATATATAATAATATTAATTAAATAAACAATTAATATATTCAATACACTCATAATATACTCAATACGCACACACACATACATAAATATATATATTGTATACATACCACAAGAAAAAAGTATTTGTTTAATACCGTATAATGTCCATGTTTGATCTTTTGGCTTTTCTTCGCGGAAGAGTGCTTTCTTAAATTGTGCACCAGTTTTATACGGAGGCCACCAAACCTCTTTTTTTCGTGGCGTTAACCATGAACAATGTACTAAAGCAATTGATGCTTCATTATCACTATCATTGAGAATAAATTCGACGCCAACAAAAGTCATTTCAGTAATGACTATATAATCAAGAAAATATATAACGTATAATAAATAATTAAAAATTTATACGGAATTTTTTCGTTTGCGTCTGAACAAGCAGGATTTACACAAAGCACGTGAACCTAACCCTAACCTGACAATGAGACTGATAATTTTTCCGCGCCGATGTAGCAAACAGAACATGCGCGATAAATGACGATTGCATGCGCGTGATCTGTTTCACGTACTTTACGTTCGCAATGCTCGTGGCATTATTTTATTTTTATTATTTACCAAAAAAAAAGACATATTTTATACTCGCAAGTGTTGCAAACGCTTTCTATTTGCTTTTGTTACTTCGACACAATGATTGTACTCAGGTGGCAAACTAATGTCATTAAACGTCAAAATGACGTTATTTTTACGTCTAATGACGTCATTCGGCGTCAATATGACGTTGCAAATATTCTCATACATATATTTTTTATTTTAATATGTATAGAATCTACCTATAAAAATTGTACGTTTGCGTTCGGCTCTTAAATGCCTATATCTATATATTTATATTAATTGTTTAAATAAATGGCATCCTTTTTTAGATTTGATACCAAAATACGTAAATAAAATGAATGTAGGACTTAAATATTACGTCATACTGACGTACTACATAATGACGTCATTATAAAATGAATATAGGACTTAAATATTACGTCATACTGACGTAAAATAATGACGTCATTATAATGTCATTCAAATATGATGTCAGTTTCTGGTCACTTGACGTCATTCGTACGAACATGACTAGTATTCGACGTCAAAATGACGTGTGCTTGCTACCTGAGATGTTGTTATCGAGTAATCATATCTTAATATGCATCGCGTGGAATGTTAGCACAAAGTGTCTCTCCAATCTCTTTCAATGTTCTAAGTATGAGCTTTACAATTAGTGTCAGGATCGACTGACAAAATTGTACAAATGATTAATAGGTCAGATCAGTGTTTATATTTCTTCATTTTCCAGATATTTATACGCTTAATTTCAGTATTATCCTCTAATCACTCAAGACAAAGCTAAAAAGAATTTTTAATACACAAACGAAAAGATAATTTTTTTTAAATATCAAAATATATGAAAATATAATGAAAAATTCCTTCTCCTATAATAAAAATATAATAAAAAATTCTCCAAAATTTGATCAATTAACAACACTACGATCGTACTATGGACATTGTACATTCCATTCACCCCGATAGGAAAATATTTATAAAGTTATATAATAAAATCTGAATAAAATATGAAATACTGCAGTCATATGTACTTATATTTGAAATAACTCATATAAAAATATAGACCTTTGAACAATATATAAATATTTACACAATTTATTGCTAATTAGTTTTTCAACAAACCAGTAGCGTTATGATGAATTATTTTGATGAAATATTGTTAAGGATTTTTCTGGAGCAACGAGTTTTAGTAGCTGCGCTACTGCTCCGGACTTTCACATGGTCTCCGACTCTACTCCCACCGATCGACGGCTTTCGCACTTTCGCGAGAGGATACGGAGAGAGCAAAATCGATTTTTCACACACTTACTTTTCGGCAGTTAAGCACTTGAGATTACCGGAAATTAGGCGAGATCGCGTTTTGAGAACTTTGTAATTTTTCGACTAGCACTTCGCATTCGTTCCGGATATTTCGAGTCTTTTCTAAAACATAGAATCATTGTCAATTTGTATCTGATTTATAATTAATTTGTATTACTTTCTTTTCTTTTGTATTTCTTTATTTTCTTTTTGTAAAGTTTAATAAGTATCGACTAAGTTGAGTCGAATATTATAATTATATATTTTTATTAAATTCCAACCTATTACTTTATTAAATTGAATATTTTTTCATATAATTTATCCTGACTTGATTATAAAACTATAAAGTATTCTTTACAATATTTGCAAAATTACATTTGAAAAAAAATTACATAATATATGAATAAATATTCTACGCTTAAAGATGCATAATTATTCTGAAATTATAATTTTAAAATGTTATAACATAAAATGTTACACAATCATTATATAATACTTCTTTTATTCCAAACACAATCATTATATAATAGTTCTTTTATTCCAAACACCATGCTTTAGAAATTAGAGTTTTGACAAGACATAGCGGTATCGACCTAACTTATAATTAGACATTATTTCAGGATTCTACTGCCGAACGATAATTCCCTACCGGGAGGTCGCCTTAATAATAGGAAAAATCGACACGTGCTGAAAACCCGTACGTAATCATAACGTCAATAAAAGATATATATATAAGTCAATAAAAGTCGCCGCGAAAAGTTAAATGTCGCGCGATCGGACATATTGAGGACCATTAATCGTCGCATTAGCGAATCACAAATTTCCACGCGAACGAGGCATCGCGCGTAGCCGATCATTCTCACGCCTCATTGTAATTCGCATTTGCGGTCCTTTTTCGCCAACTCAAGTGCGCGGTGTATCGATTATGATCTGTCGCGCACCCCCGTTTCTGCCTATCTGAGTCGCTAATATCCTGTTCCTTCTTCTTGTTCCGGTTCTTGGTGGATCAACACGTTATCGAGTGACCGAAAAATCGTAATCCGCGTTGTTAAAAGATAATCCGTCGAGCTACGAAAGTGATTCATTTCCGCTGGTCATCGGCAAGATTTGAAGAGTATCGTGCACGCGATATTTTTAGTCAATTATTGTTCATTAAAGCTAAAACTAGTGGAATCTAAAATAAATTCGACAGCATATAAGAACTGAGCTCGACTGAAATTCGTGTTTTGAGAAATGTCACTCCATCGTTTCTCAATAGCGCGTAAAACCAATTCTTTTGGAATATTAGTGTATAGGGCGGTCACATCTGAAGAAATCAAAGTATTATTGTCGTCAATGATTGTATCTTTTAAATTTGCGGAAAATGTCCAGCCGTCCTTAACGTAAGATTTTGGTAACAAAATAGAACTATGTAAAATATTATGAATATATTTAGCAACATTATATACTGGACTACCTAATGAAGATACAATGATGCGTAGAGGAAATTCTTTTTTGTGAACCTTTGGCAGACCATAACAACGTGGTAAATTACCATTAGTGATATTTAATGACTTATATGTGGAATCGTCAATCAAATCGTTATCTCGCCAGGATTTTATTAAGGCGTTGGTCTTTGTAGTTAGTTGTTTGATCGGATTTTTCTTTAGTTTTTTGTAAGTGGATTCGTCATTCAATAACGATTCCATTTTCTCCAAATAATCATTTTTACTCATTACTACGGTGATCTGACCTTTATCAGCTCTGGTGACAAAAATATCTTCATTATCGCGTAGAAATTTTTTACAGAGCGAAAAACCTTGCAAGATGTGTCTGTCAGAAGAAGAAATGTGTTTATTTTTACATAAAAATTTTTTGAGAGAATCAGCTACTGAAATTCTGGTGGTTTCTAGTACGTCACTCGGAATGTTCTTGTGATTAATCTCTAAATTCTCTATGTTCTTCAGGACGATATTTATTCGATCTTACTATTTGCGTGATCTATCGGCAAACCAAATTTGTCACCCAAGCTTAAAAAATCAGATACCTTATCTGGAATAGTTTTACCACTAATGTTCACCAACCACTTAGAATTGTCAATGTTTTTGAACAAATCAGAAAATGCGTTTTGTTTAGTGCACAATTTGTCAAATTTACTGATAGACTTATTTTTATTAGAGAGTTTAAATTTAAAAAGTCTCCTTTCATTTAACTTAAGAAACTCTTGAACAAGATTATGTGGCAGACATGTAAAGAGTTTCTCAACTATCGCTTTAGTGTTGCGGCGTAAGTATTTTAAATTGAAATCCACGTCTTTTATTTCCAATTTTAGCAATTTATAACGATATTTATTAGTAATCTTCTCCATTTCGCGTTTTGTACTACTGCTTTTAAATAGTATGTTCGTTTTAAGATTAATAATATGAGAAGGAAGAACATCTTGCCTTCTACATCGTACCAGAAAAATTAGTTGTTGGTTCACAGCAATAATCTTTTTCACGTTGTTAATCCAAGTTTTCAAAAGTGTTGTGTGATAAGTACCGAACCTTCTCGACATCAAAAAAAAAAAAATCCTTCCACTTGTGTGGGCTCCATGTCCAGGTCCAGGAGCGTAAAAAATAAGAACGTAGATATTTGAGAATCGCCAGACAGAATTTAAAAAAGGTAAGAATCTTCTCTCGACCGTACTGGCAAATATTATTTATTCAATCACAACGTTTCGACCCTGTTAAAATATTAGCATCAAAAAGTAGTGAAATCAAAAAGTTGCACTAAGTAAATGACAACATAATATATAATATTTAGATGAATTTCCTATAATGATACAAATGTATAATTATTGCTTTATTTTAAAATGTTTATAATAATATACATATAATAAAAAATAAATTCACTAAAATATATATATATGTATATATATATATATATATATATATATTTATTTTTCTTTTAAATTTAAATAACATGAATAATTATGTAATTAATTTAAACTGGAATGTATATACAATGTAAAGTTATTAAATATTTTTATAAAATATTTAGATAAATACGTATATATAATAAAATAAATTATTTATCTCTAAATAATTATTTAATCCAAATATATTTAAACGTATATTCACAAAAGGTAATATAAGGCACAAAAAATTAAATTTAGAAAATTAAAAAATTTAAAGTTAAATAAAAATAAAAAAAAAATTAAATAACTGTGAGACGACCCAACTGGCTTAAATTTATTATTATTATTAATTCGATGTCATATACAATAAAAGACGACGTTTCGACCTTAAGTTTAGGTCCTTATCAAGTCTAAAATTAAAAATAATACCAATAAATGTATATACAAGAATTTCAATTTTAAAAAGCAAAGCGTAAACCAAAATTGTAATAACAATATTAAAACGTACCTTACGAAATCTTTAATACAAAATAAAATTGAGTTTTTACATTATACACATTTCTATATAAGTACTGTGTCAAGTAAACGTTCCGTATGGATGGTAAAAGCGAACTAAGTTAAACAGCCTTGATTATTCTATCATAGATAGGGTTCAAATTCTCTGTGTCTTTCTGTAGGTTGATCGTGTTGTTACATTTTTTTATAAAAAACATTTCAGCAATCTCTCTTTTCCTATGTTTGTTTCTCGATGTAATATATTTAAGGTTGTCCATTTAAAGTCATGCGAAAAATCATTATTATGGACAAAAAAGATTATATTGACAAAATGAATGTTTCACTGAATGATCAATCTACCTATACTAAACTGAAAAAAGATCCTATCAAAAAAGTAACTAGTAGAATTAATTCTTTAATCAAATCATGGCGGGATAATAAATTGATCGATGAAAGGACATATAAACGTCTTAATACCACGAACGGGAATCTCCCACGGTGTTACGGTCTACCGAAAATCCACAAAGTTAACGCGCCTTTACGTATAATTGTTTCGTCACTTGGGAGTCCGGTTTACAGTATAGCGCGTTTTTTACATGATATATTAGAACGATCAGTTACAAAACCTACCTCACATATTAAAGATGGTTGGACGTTCTCGAATAAAATCAAGAATGTGAGTATTGAGGATAGTGAAATGTTAATTTCACTTGACGTCACATCTTTATTCACAAACATTCCTAAGGAATTAGTTTTAAAATCTATTGAAAAACGCTGGAGGGATATTTCATGTAACACAAACTTTAGTTTGGCACAATTTTTATATGGAATCGACGTTCTATTAGAATCTACTAGTTTTCGTTTCAACGATCAATTTTATGAACAGATACATGGTACTCCAATGGGATCCCTTCTTTCCCCTATTTTAGCAGACTTAGTTATGGTTGATCTTGAGACAGAGTGTTTAAGTTCTTTACAATTTGACATTTCGGTTTATTATAGGTATGTTGATGATATTTTTGCAGTAGTGCCACGCAATAAAATTGATACTATTTTGACTACGTTTAATAATTACCATCACCGTTTACAATTTACGTATGAAACAGAAATTAATAACAAGATTAACTTTCTGGATACAATGATTTTTAGAAACAATGGTAAACTATTGACTAATTGGTACCAGAAACCCACCTTCTCTGGTAGATATTTAAATTACTATTCTAATCATCCGTTTAAATACAAAATTAACACCATTAACAACTTAGTCGATCACGCTATATTGTTATCGGATAAACGGTTCCATAATGAGAACTTACAGATGGTTAAAAAAATCTTGTCGAATAATTGTTTTCCTAGGACGGTCATCGAGCGTTATATGTATAAAAGAACATGTTTTTTAAGAAATTCTAATAACGTTGTTGACAAAAATAATGTATTTGATATTTTGTCTTGTATTTTAATGCCGTATGTTAAGAACCTAAGCGAAACTATTGAGAGATCTATTAAGAAAACAGGCTTAAGTGTTATTTATACGATTCCAAAAAAACTAGATACTTTTATTAAACGCGGAAAAGACAAATTATCTAAAGCTGATATGACCGAGATAGTTTATAAGGTTGACTGCAACGACTGTGACGCCACATACATTGGACAAACTAAAAGACACCTTAATACTCGGATAAAAGAGCATATGAATAATATAAAAATGCATGTCAGCAACCAGAATGTTATAAGCAAACATAGAAATGATTTTTCGCATGACTTTAAATGGACAACCTTAAATATATTACATCGAGAAACAAACACTAGGAAAAGAGAGATTGCTGAAATGTTTTTTATAAAAAAATGTAACAACACGATCAACCTACAGAAAGACACAGAGAATTTGAACCCTATCTATGATAGAATAATTAAGGCTGTTTAACTTAGTTCGCTTTTACCATCCATACGGAACGTTTACTTGACACAATACTTATATAGAAATGTGTATAATGTAAAAACTCAATTTTATTTTGTATTAAAGATTTCGTAAGGTACGTTTTAATATTGTTATTACAATTTTGGTTTACGCTTTGCTTTTTAAAATTGAAATTCTTGTATATACATTTATTGGTATTATTTTTAATTTTAGATTTGATAAGGACCTAAACTTAAGGTCAAAACGTCGTCTTTTATTGTATATGACATCGAATTATTAATAATAATAAATTTAAGCCAGTTGGGCCGTCTCACAGTTATTATTTAATTTTTTTTTTTTAATTTTATTTATCACTGGCGATACAAGATTACCTGCTATATATTAAATAAAAATTTTAAATTTAAATTAAAAAATAAAAGTAAAAAAAATGTAATGTACAAAAAATACTTAGCGCTGTTTTTGTATTGTTATTTTAACACATTAGTAAATAAAATAAAATATAAATCAAAGTATAGACTAATTTTTTTACTGCAATACGCTTCAATAGAAATCTATAAACATATTACGTAGCTCAATATTCGAATGACATGTGGCTAGCTGAACATATCGATATACATGCATGAAATATATGTATATAATGTAACATGTAATAATTGTCATATTAAATAGATTCAACAATTGGGCAATTGGGATTTTTTGTTAAATAATAACGCTAATGTATTAAATCTGTAATATAATAATTAAACATGTTTGATTACTGTATTGAGTTGTTGGTCCACTGAGATTCGATTGTGTCATCATCAATCATAAAACTAAGTGTAAATTATAACAATAAAAATACAAATCAACGCTCGTATAAAATTTTCAATTAATAAAACATGAAAAGTAGGCCAAATATACGAGCCGAAATGATTTAGATGTAAGAATAATTAAAAATTTTTATTCATAATATAAATGTAGACGTTTCGACCTTACTAGGTCTTTATCAATACAATCACACACAACCGCAAGTATAAAATTATAAAATATAATAAAGAAATTTAAACATAATCTCGCAAGTTATGCAGACGAAACTTCGTTTATCATTCGATTTAATTACAATGGTTGAAACAATTATTCTTAGATGTCTTATGTTTAAGACCATCTCTCAATTAAATGCACGGAGTCCAAATTGGTCGTTGGACAGCGCGAACGGTCTGTTCCGGCATCTTCACGAGATGAGTCCCATTTATTCAAGCCCTTTTTTTCCCACAAAATAGATATATTAAAAAGATTCCAATAAAGAACACTCCGAAAAATATAAATTAGCAATAACTTACATATTGATGTTATGTGTTGGTTGTTGCGACTCAGCAATATCAAGGAATAATATGTGTCATTATTATGTCGTAGCCTGTTTATATAGTCAATAGTGTTGTCAATAGTTAAAGGTTAATTTGTTTATTTTTTATTATTAAAAAAGTGTGTCAGATAATTCTTCTAAAATGTCAAAATAACAGCTTTCAAGAGATTCGATGTCTTCCTTTAAAATTATACTGTTTTTATGTTCTTTTATGTATAACATTTCAGAAATAAGTCTTTTATTATAGTTGATTTCATGATCTAATATTTCAGTCCCTTCCCAGTCAAAAGTGTGCTTATTATTTAAAATGTGTTCAGAAATCACCGAATGTCTTGCAGAGTCTAATTTAAAATTGTTTTTATGTTCGTTAAGTCTGGTACGTAATTGTCTTTTTGTTTGTCCAATATAAGTTGCGTCACAGTCTCTGCAATTGATTTTATATACAACATTTGAATTGCTGGAATCATCATTCTTGTCTTTATGTGTTTTAATCCAAATGTTTAGATTTTTCAAGACACGATATCCTACATTTACATCCGATTTTTTGATATTAGCTGATATTTCTTCGGAGATGGATTCCACATATGGAATTGCAACAAATTTGTTATTTTTATCTTTGCTATCATGAGGACCCTTTTTATTTTCTTTATTAGTTGTATTTAATTTGCTGCCGATAAAATTCTTAATCCTGCGATTTATTTCATTAAAAATAAGAGCCAGAGGGTAGCCATTTGATAACAAAACATTTATAACTGTATGCAAATTTTTATCATGGAATCGAGGATGCGACAATAGCAGTGTTCTGTCCACTAAATTATAAATAGTGCCTAATGTGTGGCACCTCGGATGGTTGGAATAAAAATATAAAAATCTACCTGAGAAAGTTTTTTTATGGAACCAATCTACATATATCGCATTCTCAATCACATTAATAGAAATGTCAAGGAAACCAATGCTACGATTCTCTTCTCTTTCAACTGTGAATTTCAGTCTTTCGTGGTATTCGTTGAATTTGTCTATGATATGTGATATCCCACTATACATGAAATGTATATGTAACATTTCAAATTGTTTCATATAGGTTTCAAATGATACATTCCATTTGTATGTTTATGACATATTTCATAAACATTATTATTGAAACATTTCACAATTACTTATATTATAAATGTTTCTAAAGTAATGTTACAGTAAATATATCTCTAAAACAATTCAAAGTTGCAATGTATGATTTGTTAATATTGATACATTTATTTCACTATTATATCACAAATATTTGCGAAACATATATTTCGAAATATTTAAGATACATATAAATCATGATATGTTTGAAATTTTCACAGTACGAGTTATTATGAAATGTTTCAATTGTAACATTTATGAACATTGCGTAAAAATTGTATTTGAAATGTGAATACATATATTTTTACGCAAATAACTGCGTTGAGTAGTTATTCCGTTGGCCTTTTTGTTTAACCTTAAAAGATATATATTCAATTTTTAATTTTAAATTGTGAATGAATGAATTATTGCAATAGTTATTATTGCATATATGATGTACGATGAGCAACAAAGATAGAATGATGCTTTCAGCGCGTGAGCAGTCAAAGCAAACGCAGCCTTACCTCGTGGTACATACATACAATTCGCAGAGCGTTGAGGATTAACTACACAAAGCGTGTCGTTGTTCGCAGTGCTGTGTGTCGTTGCATTTTCATTGCGTTTTTACGTACTGTTAAACTATATTTACTTTGACATTTTCTTTTTCTTGTATCTATAAACATTTGTGTCAGTGCAAAATGAGTTCTAATAATACGACGTGCAAAAATAATACACGTGAGCATTCGAGCCAACCATCAACATCATCAAGTTCGGTATGTATTTATATGTGTACATTATATAGAAATGATTATGGAAGAGTATGTTTTGTAATGAATTTCTTACGTATATATTTTAACACGTCATAAAGTTATAAGAAAAGTTACAAAAATTGTATGAGTCATCTTAACCCTAAAAATCGATTACACTTCAATTTATTATATTATCTGTTTACAATGTGTTAGAAAATATACATCATATAAAAATAGATCATTTTTATCGTGCAATATTTATTTATATTCTGTTTTTATTCTAGATATCTCAGAGGAAGAAAAAAGATATATCGAAGGTTACAAATAGACATTTTCGTAGAATCATTAATAATGAATATTCTAAGACTAACAGAGATGAATTACTATTGCATGTTAATAAAATACAGCACTTTTTTAATAGTGAAAAATTTAATAAATTAGAATATATGTAAAGAAAATGTATATTCTTTAGATTGAATATTCCCGCGAACGATGGTCGGTAGAGTAAATAACGAGTGGATAACGAGAGATAAGATAGATGGGAGAGAAGGCGGTTGCCACGTGCTCGAAAAGTATAAGGCTAGGAAAGAATAGTTGATATAAAAGTTGTTAGTGGTTTGTTTATAGTAGCTGAAGGATTAATAAGATTAAATAAACTTAAATGTCGTTTCTCTCTTTTTTCAGGTAAGAGTTGTGTAAGAGTTATGTAAATAGTGTCACTCAATAACTGTAAATAAATACGAAAACTCTCTTTTTTCAGAGAAACAATTAGTTTATTTTTATCTACGAAAGAATCCCTACTAAATTAAATTTTGCATCACATATAATGAAAATATTTTAAACACAGATAATAGTAGTACTGATGGATATGAAGATAATTTAGTTTGCAACAATAGTAGTACCAATGATGAATATAAAACTATTAATTTAGTTTGCAACTCTTCTGAAAATAAATAAATACATTTTAATGTTGATAAAGATATATTTAAATCGCAGAGTAACATTAATTTAGCAGATAAGATTGCTCATTGGATTATTACAAATAATATCTCGCATAATTCTGCAAATGAGTTATTATCAATAATGAAATCAGAAAACTTGCCTGTTCCAAAAGATTGTAGAACATTGCTAAAAACTCCTTCATTATGTAATATTATAAATATGCCACCTGGTGCATATATACATTTAGGTATTGAAAAAGGCATAATTGAAAAGATAAAGAATATTTTAACAGACAATTTAGAAATTCTACCATTAACAATTAATATTGATGGCTTACCGTTGAGCAAATCATCAAAGAGTCAATTTTGGCCTATTTTAATGTCAATTGATTTATTAGAAATTTCAGAATCTTTTATTGTTGGCATTTATCATGGATTTAAAAAACCAGAGACAGTAATGAATTTTTTAGAAGCATTTGTGGAAGAATATTTGTTTTTAAGAAAAAATGGTATTAATATAAATAATAAGATTGTTAGACCAATATTAACAAAAATTATTTGTGATGCACCTGCTTTAGCATTTGTTCTATCAATAAAATCTCATACAGGCTATTTTGGTTGCAATAAATGCACGCAAAAAGGTAAATTTGTTAGAGGCAGAATGACTTTTCCAGAACTTGATGTTTTATTAAGAACTGGTGAAAGTTTCGCGTTACATTTACAAGAAGAACATCGTAAAGGTTCCACTTCTTTAGAAAAAATAGGAATCGGTTTAATTAGTAATGTGCCGCTTGATTACATACATGCACTTAGTCTGCCTTGGTATAATGAAAACACTTATATTGTTTTGGATTGGAAAAAAGAGAAATAATCGGTTAAAATTAAAGGATCATGATATAAAATCGATATCAAAAATTATGAAGATGTTCCGAAAATATATCTGTGAGGAGTTTTGTCGTCTACCAAGAGCTATAGAAGATGTAGAACATTGCAAAGCAACAGAATTTAGACAATTTCTTTTATATACAGGTCCTGTTGCATTGAGAGAAAAATTGCCTAAAATTCAATATAAACATTTTTTGTGTTTACATGTCGCTATAAGAATTTTATGTTCATCAGAGCGCATCAGGCTTAATGCATATGCAAAATCTTTAATTCGATATTTTATTGAAAAGTACAAGAAAATATATGGTAATGAATATATTATATATAATGTGCATAATCTTTTGCATCTTTGCGACGATGTTTTGTCATTTGGAAAAGTTGATAATTTTAGTGCATTTAAATTTGAAAGCTATATGAGTCAAATAAAAAAAAAATGAAGAATTCACGGTATCCTTTACAACAAATATACAATATAATAGAGTTGTTGAAAATAGAAAGCTTCTAACATCTATTAACAAGTCTGATTTATGTGAAAAAGACGACAAACCTTTAATAATTAATGAAGGTGGAAAAATTTATAGATATTACAAAAAATTTTCTTTTGGAAATTTTACAATATCATTAGCTCAAAGAAATAACTGTGTCTTTTTAAAAAATTCTACTTATATGCTTATTTCTAATATTTATAAAAATGAAAATAATGATATAAAAATAGTTGGAAAAATTTTCCAAAATATATTCAATTTTATAGAAAAGTCTTCATTTAATTTATCTATAAAAGTCATTGATATACATGAAACATCAAATACATCAACATTCGATTATAAAGATATTAAAGCAAAATGTTTAGTTTTACCAATGGATAATAAATTTGCAGTAATTCCATTATTACACAACAATTTGTAATATCTATTACTAAAATTATGTTCATACATGTAAAATTTAAATAACTTATTTTGGCAATAACACTAACGTAATAAATTTTATTTAATTTATGTTGAATTAAATATGTCACTTTTGGTAAAATTTTAATCACAATAAAATTTTATTATAATTAATAGCAAATTAAAAATTTTAATAGTAATTTAATAAAAATACATTAGTAGTTATTCTCTCTGGTCTTTTAAGGTAACATTTATCATCATTGTTATATAAAGAGTATCTCTAGGTTAAGTATGATTAAATAAACTTTTAAGTATAATTAAAGTTTTAAAATTTACATTTTCAAACGTTTTTAAATATTTTTATTGTTTGCAGTTACCTTATTCAGTTGTAAGATTTAATACTGAATACGAAGAAGACGATGAAACATATTCTGTGATCCCGAGTACATGGTTAAAAGAAAATGATAAATATTCATATTGGCCGAAAAAGGATACACGGAATTGCATCATAAAATGTAAAAAACCACAGAATGACTGGATTATTCACCCGGTTATTGTAATTGCTAAATATAGTAAGCATGTTATTTTTTTGCATAATTAATAATCGTATATGTATATAAACATATAAATTTAGCTGAGGCTAAATACTGCGTATAAAATATTAATAACATCTTGAAAAAATTAATTTTCATAGATTCATATGAATGCTATCCAGAAAGAGAAGAGATTAATGGAAGAAAAAAGCAATACCGAATCAGAATCCCAATTAGGTCGTGGACTTCGAAAGAAAATAGTTTCATATCGCATTTCGAAAGAAAATGGTATAAAAATTTTCTTTAATAAAATTTATTGGAAATTATTTCTTTGAGCTTGATAAATGAATATAATTATTCTTTTCGATGTTATTTTACTTTCATATAAGATAATATTAAGATATTTTCTACATAATGTTAAACAATACTAAACAGATATTTCAGATAGCTCTACCATAATAGTAGCTCAAGTAATAAAATCAGCGATTGTGATTCCATTCCCGAATTAAATGAAAACTTACACCAACAAGGTATAATCACGAAATTCTACATTTTATTTTTTATATTTTTTTCCTTTATAGTTAAATATATTAAAAATAAAGAAGTAAAATTTTATAATAAATGTGTTTTTCAGATAATGATATTAATCAAAATATTGATGATAATGATACACAAATCTTGGACATAAATGAAATTCCTATTGTTATACAAGCAGAAGACAGCAATATTATTCCTGCAAAAGATGTTATTCCTATAGACAATCATAGTAAGTTATTACACGTATACATGCATCATACATACATATACACATATGCACACATACACATATACACGCGCGCGCATTCACACATATATAATAACTTTATTTAATAATTCTTACAAAAATTATTACTCTTAAAAAAATTTACATGTATTAATAATTATTTACATAAAATTTTATTTATAAAGAATATTTTATTCATATTAAGTAAAGTTAATAATTATTTACATAAAATTTTATTTATAAAGAATATTTTATTCATATTAAATAAAGTTATGTGTGTGCACAATAATTATATAATTTAAATCAAATATAAGTTATATTTTTTCCACTTTTTATTTGGCTAAAATATTTCCACACTGTATGCGTTGGAAATATTTTGGCCGAATTATAGAGTTGTGGAAAAAGTTCAATTTACAATTGACTGCTCCTTGTAAACATATAAATATATATATATGTATACACCCTTTATAACTTTTTGTAAACTATTTTTAGGAAAAGAAAAAGATAGATAAAAAATCATTTTTTATTTTGGATTACAGCTACTGGAACTCTAAATTCCATATTACGAAACGTACTTGAAATAAAATTAATGTGCAGACGAATAGATGAGCGTTTCAATATTTTAGAAAATAACAATAATAACATAAATATTCATCGTAATAACAATTTGCTTCCACCATTACCAATGGATTGTCTCGAAGATATAAATAATTTTGAAACTATACTAGTATCTGAGGAGGCACAATCACAGCTGGTGTGTATAATTTTTTTACTTTTTTAATTTGATATTAATACGCATTAGAAATATGATTAACAAAAGTAATATTTTAGGTCAATATGTTAACTATGACTGGTGGCACGACTGAAAAGGATGCAATGAAGAGGGCATTGAAGAAATTATTTACGAATAATCTAGCTACAAAATGCTCTTGGACTGGAGCCAAACAAAATTTTACATTAAAAGATTTGAAACTAATTATGTGCATGAAAAGTAAGTTACATACAATATTATTTCTTTATATATTATACATTATTTTTTTATTTATTTTATTTTTTACCTAATAAATATTCATCTTTATTTGTATGTAGATACCATAAAAAAAACTTGTTCCACCATAACAGAGGCACAATTCGAAGAAATTTTAAAAGCATGGTTCAGACAGTCAAATCTGCGGTTAAATCGTCGAAATAACAAGAATAAAAATAAGAATAACACTGAAGAGAATAACAAGAATAATAAAAATGAAAATGCAAATGATACTGTGGGAAATGACGTTGTGCACTAGAGCGACGCATGATGCAAATATTATAGCACGGTTATTATGTAATAATTATTTCAATAAGATGGAAGGGATATAAAATAGTGCTTGACTTTTCTACAAGAAATTATGTAGTTGCTCACGGTTAGATTGCAGCGAATGCATCAATCATCGTGCGATAAAAGAAGAAGGCGGGAACGTATGTACAAAACTTTAAGTTAATGTACGAATCATTAGGCACAAAAGTATCTAAATATTTAAAAGTACAATACTATAAAGTACACTTGTTATATTTACATTATGAAATTTAATAAAGAATACAATTAGATATTTAAAGGCAAGGCTCGTGTAATATTATAAAATTAAGATTTAGAAAGACAGGGCCAACTATAACGAGCATATTAAATTAGTGAGAGATGTAATGTCAACACATAATTAATTTATTTCTTAGTAAATACAATGATAATAAAAAATAAACGTTTCGGCTGTTACCTCAGCCTTCTTCAGTAAATATAAAAAACAATAAAAAAATTCTTTTAAGTAAAATTATGACATATTACGCATTAGAGTCTATTTTTTAATGAACCTTTGGTTTGATGAGTCAATAAATTTAAATTGGGTTACGCTTATATCATTTATTAAAATAGATATTGTTTCTAATCGGCTAACTATTTTTTAACTGAGATGGTAAACTTTTTAATTATGTCAAAAAACATGTAAACGAGCTCACTGTTGTTAGTAGAACAAGTTGACAGTCCATTCCACGTCATCAATCCTTTTGAACATTGTTAGTTGAAAATATCGTCAAAACCGCTTGATATGAGAATTGAAACAATTAGATGTTATCCAGCATCAAAAAGTTAGTCCCCATCATCAAGCATATTTCCGAGTAAGTTCATCATTGTAGTGTATTTCACCGTGTTTGTCTAAGTATATTTTTATTTTTTTTGGTATATTAATTTATATTAATAAGTTATTTTTTATGTGAAAGATCTTGATTATGATTAGAATTGCTTACTTAAATTGATGAGTAGTAGGATTTTGGATTTATCCAGAAACACTATGGCGAATACACATTGTACAACCTTAAAAAATGGTTTAACGCTAATTACAAACTCCTTGAAGCAAGATCTAAATTGTATTTTCTAAAGTCTTGCATGAACCATGAGATCTTACCGTCGCATTTAACTAACATTGGAAAAACACAATATAACATTCACAATTATAAACTGATAAATAAATTGACAAGAATACAGCACAAATTCAAAACAGAAATTTTAAAAATAGAAATTTATGATTTGTACAGAGTTGTTGACACTCTACAAAAAGAAATATTACAATTTTTACATAAGTTATCCATTTCTATCCCTGTTTATGTATGGCAATCAATAATTATATATCAAAGAAAATCCTTTAACAAATGTAAAGAAAGATTATATAGGACCCACTTAAAGAAATTCATGTGGTTAAAAAACAAAAAAATTAATGATCATATGAAAAAAATTCAACCTATTCATTATTTTTGCAGGTTAAATAAGGAAACATCACAACCAATCAAATATACTAAAAACTTAACCACTAAGAGTTCTAACGAAACAATCATAGACATCCATATTGATCCCAAGTCCTCTATTATTAATGATATTGACCCATTAAACAAGACTAATAATAAATGGTTCATTAATTTAACTAACACAGAAATCCCACCAAAAGTATCTAATCTTCTACAAATGGGTAGTAATTTCAATCTTTCTATCTCCAATAAAAAAACTGCCATACATGAATTTATCAAAGATTTGGAAGCTAATGGAAAAAGAAATAACCCAGATAGCACAAGACGTCCTATGGACGTTCATTTTATATCCATTTTACGTATGTACGTCCATGGACATGAAATGAACGTCCATTGTACATCCGATTTCGGACATCCATCAGTGACTAATATTTGGACGTCCACAGGATGTCCATCAAATTCTCTTACAGCACGAAATATTGCTAAAATATTGCATAAATATTTTATTTCATTGTATCATAATAAATATTGAAGCAACATTGTGCAAATATTATAAATTTAATATTTTATTGGAGACATTGCAAAATATACTATGCAATATACAGAACCTCAGAACTATTAGGAATATTGCAATCCCCCAATTTAATTATTATCTACATAATTTTCATAAAAAGAATTTAATAAATGAAAAAATTACTGATATGTACAATACCACATTAAAATTTTGCAGAGAAAACAATAATATAATATTTACGCGATCTGACAAGGGCAATGTGACAGTTGCAATGGAGAGGGATTTTTATAATAATAAAGTAACTGAACTTCTTACAGATGTTAACACTTACTGCGTGGTCAATAAGAATCCAATCTTAAAAATTGAAAGAGAACTCAATTACATTATCAAAAATTTGCTAACAAAAGGATACATTTCAAAAAAAGAATATTATTTTATGCACTCTAGTGATTCCATACTACCGAAAGCTTACGGTCTCCCTAAAATTCACAAACAGAACATTCCCTTTAGAATTATTGTATCATCTATTAATACGGCTCTTTATAATATAGCTACATATATTCACAATGTATTGTCACAAAGCCTTCCCCCACCAAAAAGCTATATAAATAATAGTTTTGAATTGTGCAGGATTCTTACTGGCAAAAAGTTAAGGAATTCAGAAATAATGATATCATTAGATGTTATCTCTCTCTTCACCAATGTACCTATCAACCTTGCGATAAACAGTGTTAATAATAGATGGGAGTATATTAAGTCACAGACAAAAATTCCAGAAGAACAATTTATTAAATGTATAGAATTTGTTTTGTCATCCACATATTTTACATTTAACAACATAATTTATAAACAAATTTTCGGTACTCCCATGGGATCACCATTATCGCCCATAATAGCTGATTTAATAATGGAAGATTTTGAAAATTCTGTTCTTGACTTGATTAATATCGACATCCCATTTTATTATAGATACGTTGATAATATCATTATGACAGTTCCTGAGGAGAAGGTTGATTTGATTGTGGATTCTTTTAACAAATACCATGACAGACTTAAATTCACATTGGAATATGAGGATAACCGTTGTTTAAATTTCTTAGATGTATCATTGAAATTAATTAACAATACCATTTTTGTTGATTGGTTTCAGAAAAAAACATTTTCTGGAAGAACTCTTTCCTATTACTCTAACCATCCTTTCTGCCAAAAAAAAGGCATTGTTTATAACTTAGTAGATAGAGCTCTTCTTCTTTCACATCCAGAATTTCATAAGAAGAATATTAATTCAGTCATAACTATTTTACGTAACAACGGTTACCCTTTAGAATTTATTTTCTCCACTATTAATCAAAGAATTAAGTATCTTATTACTTCCAAACTAAATATCTTGACTAATGACAATAATATTACTAAGGTTCCTGAAATAGCTGGAGATAATGAAAAAAAGAATTTCTTTGTTATTCCTTATGCGAATAGCATTTCTGACAAAATCGCATCATCTATCAAAAAAACAGAAATGACCATAGATTATCGTTGTCTTAATAAACTCAATCGTTTTATCAAGGTTCATAAAGATAAAAATCAATTTTCAACTAATTCCAATGTTATTTATAAGATCTCATGTCACGATTGCGATGTGACATATGTTGGCCAAACCAAAAGACAACTTAAAACGAGAGTTAAAGAACATGTAAATAATATAAAGTTAGATTCGTCAAAACACTCGGTCATCTCGGAACATATTTTTAATTACCAACACTCATTTAATTGGGAAGACATTAAAATTTTAGATTCCGAATCTAATTTTCAGAAGAGAAATGTTTCTGAAATGATTCATATAAAGGAACAAAAAAACGGTCTAAACTTAAAAAAAGATACCGATATGCTTGACGAGTCATATTTTGACATTCTAGAAGAATTGTCTTATAAATAAATAGTAATAATAATAGGAGTCACGGTTTGAATTCGACACATCATATTGTGACTCTGTATAATGAACACATTGACTTGGCGGAATCTTGACTACTCATCAATTTAAGTAAGCAATTCTAATCATAATCAAGATCTTTCACATAAAAAATAACTTATTAATATAAATTAATATACCAAAAAAAATAAAAATATACTTAGACAAACACGGTGAAATACACTACAATGATGAACTTACTCGGAAATATGCTTGATGATGGGGACTAACTTTTTGATGCTGGATAACATCTAATTGTTTCAATTCTCATATCAAGCGGTTCTGACGATATTTTCAACTAACAATGTTCAAAAGGATTGATGACGTGGAATGGACTGTCAACTTGTTCTACTAACAACAGTGAGCTCGTTTACATGTTTTTTGACATAATTAAAAAGTTTACCATCTCAGTTAAAAAATAGTTAGCCGATTAGAAACAATATCTATTTTAATAAATGATATAAGCGTAACCCAATTTAAATTTATTGACTCATCAAACCAAAGGTTCATTAAAAAATAGACTCTAATGCGTAATATGTCATAATTTTACTTAAAAGAATTTTTTTATTGTTTTTTATATTTACTGAAGAAGGCTGAGGTAACAGCCGAAACGTTTATTTTTTATTATCATTGTATTTACTAAGAAATAAATTAATTATGTGTTGGCATTACATCTCTCACTAATTTAATATGCTCGTTATAGTTGGCCCTGTCTTTCTAAATCTTAATTACATTATGAAGTTTTTATTTTTATTTTTAAGTAAAAAAGATAAGTTTATGTTTTTTTATTCCACAAATTTGTTTTTTAAGCATTTAATATATGGAATTAATAATTATAATTAGTTCAATTATAAATTAAAATATAATTTATATGATAACAATAATATAATTATATAGTTCATATAATTTTCACATTATTACTATGAATACTTACGCATGTTAGTGACAAGTTATAAATAAGTTCTTAAGTGTTTATTTAATAGTTAAAATTCACCAAAGTTTAATTAATAAAATGTTCTACTATAGAAAATATTAATTTACAATTTTTTAGATAATAAAAATAAAGTGTGATATTATATATTTAAAACAAGTTTTTTAAGTACTAATATTAAGTAAATAATATATATGAAGTGTTGTTACTAAAATAATAATTATTTTATTAATAAAGTTGTACTATTTGTGCAATTAAATAAATTAATATATATATATAATAATCATTCTATGAATAATAATCATTCTATGAATAAGTGTTATTGTTATGTTCCTATTTCGGCAGTTCTGTATATATATATATATATATATATATATCAGGAGACGCGGTAGTGTCTCCGGCCATGTTCAA